ACTGTTGTCTGCAGTACATATATTGTACACAGATTTGTCATAGATTTTCTATATCTGTGGGCTATTTGGGTGACCAAATGTATATTGTTGCATATGCATTTACTGCTTCACATGCAATCAGTTTTAAATAAGAGGTAGTATTCAGTCTGTACTGCACAGTATGTAGTAAGCAGTATGCTATTATTCATTTTTGAGCATAGACAAGAACTTTAAAGGCCAAAGGTCAGGTTTGAGAAGCACTTGGCAAACACTCTGTAACTCATTCCTCAGTAAAAGGAGAGAGATGGAGAGAGATGGAGAGCATCAGTTAACATTCAGCAGACATACAGCAGCTTTGTGATTCTTTTATAATGTGCCTCATTTTTCATCTCTAGTGAAATACCCTTCAGTTTTATGGCCGTCAATTTCACACCGATGGTGAGTCGCTTTCAAAACGCCCCTCGTCTGACCTTGATGATTAGCTTTAATGAATTCTAGAAGAGATTACCATTATCCTTGGGATTTTTTGTATTAAGGGCCCGACCCAGAACATTCACAGAGAGAGACGGGCAGAGATAGTGATCGAGACTCAAAAATTAGGTATTTTAAAAGTGCAGCTTATGCTTCAGTTTTTGAAAAAGTAGTGGGATGAGGGATGATGGGTAGATTTTGTGAGTCAGGTTTGGGGGAGTAAGGACACTGAAAGAGCGAGTAAGAAAGAAAGAAATAAAAAAGTGAGACAAAGGAAACTATAGAGAAATGACAGTGTCAGAGTTGCATTGATAATAAATAATAATAATAATGACGTTTAGAATAGAGTCGGAACGGCGCAGTGAAAGGTGACCTTGCAAAGGACAGAAGAAATGAACTCACTCAAAACAGGAAAATAAAAAACAGTCCCATCCACCTCAAAATCAATCACTCACCTCAGAAAATATTGTATATGCGGCATCTAAAAGTGTTTCTGCTGTACGTGAGCATCAGATGTCCTCAGATGTCCTGCTGTCAGTCTTTAATATCTCAATCTCTCAGATTAATACTCATAGTTTGACCTCCATCTCTGGCGCTGTGTCACTGATCTCCCAAGACTGAGGAAATTACCCAGAATGCTCTGTTCTCACTGTAATCTCATAAAGTAGGGGTGGGTGCCCCAAAGGTGACTGTGATAAATGTCATCATTCCCATCATGCAGTGGATTAAAATAAATCTGAAAGTCATAAGTGTGTGATCTGATCTCTAGGTACATGAGCTTTACATGATTCAGCCAGAGGAACTTGTTCCTGGATCAACATGCAGGAAGTTCAAAGGGAAAAACAGCCAGAGCAATGAATGGCACTGGGATTTGATTGGACTGATTAGTTGACAATGGACTGGATCTCTTCCCAGTGTCCGGCTCATCACACACACACACACACACGCTGCTGATCCTTTCAGCACTTTTAACAGCAAAGGCAGATTAACCCGTCCATATTTGTCATGCATTCGATTTCCATTTGCTTTTGTCCGTATCTGTCACTCACATGCTGCTGTCAAGACTTAGAAGAGTCTGGAGTGACCTGGCCTCATTTCGATAGATCATTGATCTCTCTCTGAGAAGCACTTACTGTATGTAGATCAATATCTAAGAAAGATCACCTCTCTCAAAGGATGTGCTAAATGCTACTTCAAATGCTCACAGTCTCTTTCTCTTGACGAACAGATGATGTGCTCCATTACAGTCCTCATAGAAGCAGATTATATTGACAGCAGACACAAAACATTTTAATTAAAAATTTTTTTTAATAAGAATAAATAAATTTGGCAGTTTGTTTTTACTTTAAGATGCTATCATTTAAAAGCATAATTGCATATATGTTTATAGTTTAGTATATATACTGTGCAGTATCCAATAATCAATATAGCCTATAGGCTAGTATTTTCAATGAATTTCTTCAGTTCCCTATAGCTGATTGCTCACTCAAACTACCGTCTGAAGAGTCCATTTGATCATCCTGCTCTGAGCAGCATCTCATTTGATATACAAATTGACTCAGTGTTTGAGCACTAGACGGTGAAAAAGGCTCTTGTTTTCTGTAGAATTCAACTTAGTCTGAGAATTAGCCGTCAAGTGTTTTTGCAGCACACAGATTTGTGGGGGTGAAATGTCTAAAAGAAAGCGGCTGCAAACGCTCACTGATAACTGATGCATTTATTTATCCATTCAGTGGGAGCTAAAGAGCGTCCCCACAACAACTCCCAAAAGCATCAGACAGTTTGATTCTTGCAGCTGAAGACACTTGTTGATGTAATGAAAGCTAAATGGATGAAGGGTGTTGTGGATGCAAACACACTCCGCTCTGATTCTTCATGGACTTTCATTCATCTTATTATCATTCAGCATGTGACTCTTCTAGAAGCTTTTGTGTCAAAGGCATGAAACCAATTACTGATCTTCATACGATGGTATTAACTGCTACCCGACAACAAAGTCCATGTTCTCCTCTGGTTTACATCATTCCTTGAATCTCTTTCCTGTCATTCCATTTTTCACCCTCTTTGAGAGAGAGAGAGAGAGAGAGAGAGAGAGAGAGAGAGCGAATGAAAGAGAGGAACAGAGAAAGAAAGTGTTTGGTGGCTCTTTGTCTCTCATTTGCCAGTCACAGTAGATGGCTTCTCTGATTAAGTTGCTCTAATTGGACTCTGCTTCAGATTCGGCAGGTGAACAATGGCTCGCTTTGATTAATAAGTCGTGTTGCGCTTTGAGCCTTCGCTTCTCAATCTGAGAGAAATCGTTATGCCATTAGCAACGGATCACATGCCAAGAGCCACAGACACAAAGAACTGAGTCTTAAAGTCAAAGAAGCAACAAAGCAAATGACTTAAAATCTCCCAGGTCGAATAAACATTAAGAACCAGAGTGTGAGGAAATGCTTTCAGCTGCTGTAACAAGCTTGTAAAACACGTCTGAGACGTGATCTGTCCTTAACCCGTATGCTCTGATTTCATTTCTATTTTGCATGAGCAGAATGACAGAATGTCCCTGTTTTGAGACCAGAGGGGCTGCAACTGCTCCAACACTCAACACACAGATGGTGCCTTTATGTAACGGACGCGTTCATTACATCCACATCATTTCTCATATGAAGCTGCACTTCACGCTGAAATCATTTCACCCTTAAGTTTAGCAGTGACATGCAACATTACAGTGAATGTGTCAAAAGTATCTTAAGGTCACCAACTCGGTTTGAAAACAAACAGTTTCTTTGCACAAGCAGCATCCTTGACGTGACATTTGAACAACCAGACATGAGCATCTTTTTTAACAGGTGACAAAATGAAGGTCGTGAAAATCTCCAGCCTCATTAAAGAGTTCAGCGTGTTTGTGAAGATTCAGTGAAACGATCCTATTGGACGTGAATCAATAGAGCAGCAGTAATGAAAAAGAATCATTAGTGGCACGAGGGCATGTTAAGAGGTTTCAAAAGATGTTGTTCCTGTTCAGTCAAGTTATCATATTATCATACATAGATTATCACCTTTCCTAAACAGAATTTCCATCTGTATGAAGCATAAGGCCAGAGACTTTTGAGCCAATATGTCAAACACAATCTCATGACAATTCGTAACTATTTTTCATTTTGGCAAATTGGACAAAAATTGCACGAAATTCCCTATTGCAATTAGCTAATCATAAAATAGTTACTTTCTCCTGTGGGATCAACTTGGTATGCTTTTACCCTTGTAAAAAAGACTACTTTTAAATAATATACTTTAAAAGAAAATAGTTATGTGCAAACTCAATGTAATGTTTTCGGACACTTAATTGCATGTTACTTACAATTTAGCGAAAATATAGTTTAAATTTATATTAAATGCTAATTAGCTAATTAGCTTTTTTTACCCATATATATATATATATATATATATATAGGGTAAAAAAAGCTAATGAATTATTAGCTTTATAATTCATTAGCTTAAAAAAAAAAAAATTATTAATTTTATAATTAATTATAAAAATTAATTTATAAATTAATTAATTAAATTATTGAAATTTCATATTTAAATCCTATTGTCTTTGAAATATCGATAAAGTGCACTTCTAAATCTACTGACAAGCATTTATGATAAACTAAATTAGCAAAACTGCTACATTTCCCACATTATCATTGGGATTTAATTATACTGTAGATTTATATTTATAGGTGTATAGATTTAAAGTCTTAGAAAAAACATGCTGGCTTAAGCTGGTTGCTGTGTTTTGGAAGATGCTAGCTGGTCATTAGCTGCTGCAAACTAGCAGAGTGACTGGCAATTCCAAAACACAGTTAACAGCTTAAACTGGATTTACCAGGAGGTGAAAATGAGAATGAAAGAAATTCAGAGAGAAAATCGCTGAAATGTACTTTGAATATTGAGAGGGTCTTAACCCGATTAGCAAACAGGGCAAATGCTTCCCAGAGAGCGTTTAAGAGTGTAAGCAAACATGATTAATATTACATGCACACTCAAATACACACTTACATACAAACACACACATTTACAGAGGAAGTGAGCAGGCGGGGGAGGAGAGTGAAAGACAGACAGACAGAAGCCCAGAGAGATTGATGACTGTATTCAAATGAATACAGAGAACTGACAGGAACCCATGGAGCGAAACACTGGCACAGAGAGAGTCTGATGTGAGGCAGTCCAGCACAAGCACACGCACACTTACAACAACATACAGTAGCACACACATCAATACAGTGACAAACGCACACTTTAACACCACACGCGTGCTGTGTGCTCCAATTCCCAAGACCAAACACAACCACAAACGGCCTAAAATGCTTTTAGGATCAATAAACGCAAGAACTGAGTTGCCACTGACACTCCTTCACCTCTTTAAATGAGCACAAAACAACGAAGTCACAAAGAACTGTTTGGGAGTACAAATGGAACAATGAAAAATCACCCGGTTTCCCACGAGAAGAACATTTATTGCAGTTTCAAAAGCATCACTGAAGCCAGACAAAGCCGAAGACATTTCACCGCCGTCTTACCTAATTTAGGGAGGGAATATTTCACTTTGAAGTAATCCTGGTAAAAGTGCAGGAGTCTCTTGGTGATGTGCAGAGCGTAGTCCCCCAATCCGCTCTGGATGGCGTCAGGTCTGGCATACAGCCGAATCTACAACAACGCAACATAAGAGGAGAGAGAACAGAAGTCAAAGTGTGTCAGGTGCTGAATGAATGACTCTTATACGGCTCTGTGTTTATTCCTAACCTGAATTCCCTCAAGGATAACAGTTATGGACTTGAAAGATTAAGTTCCAAGGGTAATCCATTGTGAACATAATCTGCCAAATGCCTCCATCTGGCTTGTGAATTTTGCATTTGTCTTTCAAGTGTACTTTTCTTCACCCCTCATGCATACAGTCTTGTTCCTTCCAGTTTTGTATACTTGTCTTGTTCAAATCAAAGTTTGTCTTTTTTTTTTTTTTGATTCACCTCAGAGTTGGTTGGTTTAATGCATGGCTCAATGTTTTATTAAACAACTCATTTAAAATCCTTATCGACTGGGAAAGAAATATACTTCAGAACCAAGGCCATTAAAAAGTAAGCAGCCCGTTCTGCCGGAGTTATGGTACCTTTAAATGAACTGCCTGCACTTTCATAAACCATGATGTTATTGGTCTGTAGCTGCTGAAAACTCCTCCATTTGTTTAAAATTTGATTATTCCCATCAATTGTAAGCAAGCGCTTTGATAAAATAGCATTTTACACATTTGTCTCTGGAAACAAATTAGATTTCCATGAAAAACCAAAAAGACATAATTCTGCATAATTATTTGCATAATTCTGAACTATTATATGCATGTGAGAGAGAAAGTGTGAGAGGGAAAGTGTGTGAGGTGTGGCTCTGTGGGAAATATATTCCCACAGTAAAAATGATTTTGGACTCTTTTAGCCGAAGGCTGATGCACGGCACAGATTTCTGAACGGGCATCCATCTAGTCAGAATGAATGTCCTCCTACACTAACAGAGTTACAGTGCAAAACAAGCAGCAGGAAAGGCTTTGTTTCAGAGCCTGGCAGCAATGCACATTGAATTATGTGTTGTTTACCTCACATGTTGCTGGTGTATCGATCAGCTCTGTGTCTGATATAAAGATGAATGGGCGGCACGTAGGGCTGTGGAAATGATTCAAAGTTCAATCAAATCAATGTGATTTTAAAACAACCTGTAATTAGACAAAGCGTTCAAGTTGACAATCAAGAGACGCTTCATTAATCAGCCGGTGTGGAGATTGTTCAATCTGACTCCAATGCTGGCTGCTTCATTTGTTTGTTTGGTTTTGTTGAAGGCAGCTTGACAGAGACTTAAAGTGATAGTTAACCCAAAAATGAAAATTATCCCATGATTTACTCACCCTCAAGGCATCCTAGGTGTATATGACTTTCTTCCAGGGCTGGCCCGTGGCATAGGAGGAATAGGCAAATGCTAGGGGCACCGCCAATCCCTAGGGGTGCCAAAATGATTTATGTTTTTGTTTTTTTTTAACTTGGCTATTAATTTTTTATTAACAAACCTACTTCAATAATATGAATTTAAAATATTACAAAAAAAGCGATCGTCCCACAAAAACATAACTATTTTATTGCTCTCCCGGCTCATCCCATTTCGACGCATGATCAATCTTCCCCCACGCAGCCGCACTTCCACATACATCAGCTACCTGATTGTGATAGATGTTAACTAATAAATTAAAACACCAAAGCCCTCTGGTGCCCAGGGAAGAAAAAAAATGAGAAGAAGAAGAAAAACGGGACAAAGACAGAGGTAATGTGATGTAATGAATGATGATGATCATATAAATAAACTAACGTTAGCCCTTAAATGCATGAATGTTTCGCCAATCATAATTAGCTACATATTCGGGTTTTTAGCGACCCGGACCTATATATCCAGCACGGATGGATCTCTAACTGCTGCAATAGCAAAAAACTCTCTTGATATTTTAAGCAGGGGCGGTTCTGGGGGGGCCAGTGCCCCCCTGCCAACAAGCTTGGCCCCCCCTTTGAACCGCCCCTGATTTTAAGAACAATTATAGAAGAATAAAATAAAGCATATTTCGTTACCTTTTGAAACTTAGAAGGGTTCAATTTGAGCAGATGATTTTACCATCGCTGTCATCGTCAGACCACACTTCCACAGTACATTCAGCTTCTGGCTCATATTCGCGATCTCAACCATATTCTCAAAACTATCGTTTTCAATGACTTCAAAATCAAATCACTGGGAGCTTATTCACCACATCCACCATCAAATGACAGTGACATTTATATTTTAACGCTTTGCAGTAAAGCCATTCAAACCAGTTCAATTTTTGCTGGTGATATTCTTTTGTTTTATGCCTGCGGTAATTATGAGTGAAACATTACATCATCATTGTGTATCAAACAGTGCCACCTCAAGAAATAAAGATGCATTGCACTTGTTGAGTCACCAGATATGTAAATATAGTTGAGCAGGAAAAATATAGGCCTACTTACACATTTACCTCGGGTCTCTAGCGTACCTATACAATTTTTACAAAAAAAAAATGTGTTCACATAGTGTTCAAATTGGGATCTGTAATATTTTCTAATGTTTTAAAAGAAGGCTCTTCTGCTCAGCAAGGCTGCTTTTATTTGTATAGTAATAAATACATGCCTGATTCAAGAAGGGGGTCTGATGGGCAAAAAAATATAATTTTACTAACTTATTCATTTTAAGTTAAAATTGTGCTTTAAAATGTTGTTATGTGTGTTATGTATGCAGTGTTAAATATTTTTAAATTGTTGTTTTGTAACTGATTTTTTCTTTGAAAAGCAAGACAAAACAGTAAAAAGCACATTTTGACTATTTAATTTGTGCAATGGTGAAAACAATTGGCAAAATACATGGGGAAAAAAACTCTAAAAACCGTGTTCGGTATTCAGCCTTCGGCCCAGTGTTTCATTTTGTTTGGTTTTGGCTTCGGCCAAGAATTTTCATTTCGGTGCATTATTACAAATGTATCATTCATTGATAGTTCAAGTTAGTTAATATTCACTAATGTTAATGTGAGGCAAGGGGCACCAGGTAAAATCTTGCCTAGGGTAGCAAATTGGCTAGGGCCAGCCCTGCTTTCTTCTTTCAGACAAATCCAATCTGAGTAATATTAAAACATGTTTTGGCTCTTCCAAGTTTTACAATGGCAGTCAGCGGGTGTTTCCCTTCAACAGTCCAAAAGAAGTCCAATAAAGCGCATCCATCCATAATAAAAAAGTGCGTCACACGGCTCCTGGTGGTGAATAAAGGCCTCCTGTAGCGAATCGATGCGTTTTTGTAAGAAAAATATCCATAATTAAAAATGTAACAAACAGTTTTGTGTAACTTCCGCTAACTGTCGTACGCACGTTCACGAGAGACTGCCTTTGTTCCTTTGAAGTATGCATCGCGTGTGCGTCAGTGAGAAGTGACGAACGCGGAAGCACAGAGGAGAGAACAGAACAAAACAGCGGTCAAGAATTAGAAGTACAAAACGAGGATTTGTAAAAAAAAGTGTCAGAGGGTTTCGATATAAGCCAAGAGGATGTCCAGAACATCCGTTACACAAAAATGTTTGTTACATTTTTAATTATGGATATTTTTCTTACAAGAACGGTGCTTTTTCATTGGAAAAAACTCGCAATGCACGCAGGTTGCCCCCTCGAGGACATCGCGTGCGTGCTCTTCGCCCAAACAAATACCACATAGATCGTGTTTGTCATCTGGTGTCAAATAGCGATGACACGGATGCACACACCTTCTAAATGCTCCGCTAGTGCTCGCCATAATAAATACAGATAGCTCTTACTTTTTCATTGGAAATGCATGCTTCAAACAGAACAGACAACGAAGACGAAGAAGAGAATGATGTGTGCTCCCGGCGCCTATTTATACTATAGTCGCACCGGTAGTGACGTCATGGCTGTCGCCGTTCAACGAGTTGGTGTTTTTTCAATGTATGCTTCAGACACGGGTCACGACGAGGCGTTCACAGCCGTCTAACGTCCCAGGGGCAACTCCCATAGCAATATGGTAGAGTTGGTACTTAGTGCTCGCCATGGTTCTGGCATGCACTCCCCTCAGCATGCGGGTCACGACGAGGCGTTCCCCATAGCGACCCCTAGAGGACGCAGTTTGAAGTTCCCATGAAGGGGAACACCCACCGACTGCCATTATACAGCTTAGAAGAGCCAGAACTTTTTTTAAATATTACTCCGATTGGATTCATCTAAAAGAAGAAAGTCATATACACCTAGGATGGCTTGAGGGTGAGTAAATCATGGGCTAATTTTCATTTTTGAGTGAACTATCCCTTTAAATGGGGCTAATTGAACTTTAATAGAGAGTTTCTCCATGCACAGCTGCTCGACATTGATCCACTAACAAGCTCTTTCTGATGAAAAAATGAAGCTTTAGTCAACACATTCAGCACTTGACCTGATATTAACAACCTGTTGAGTTATTCTATATACAGGTGCATCTCAATAAATTAGAATGTCGTGGAAAAGTTCATTTATTTCAGTAATTCAACTCAAATTGTGAAACTCGTGTATTAAATAAATTCAATGCACACAGACTGAAGTAGTTTAAGTCTTTGGTTCTTTTAATTGTGATGATTTTGGCTCACATTTAACAAAAACCCACCAATTCACTATCTCAACAAATTAGAATACTTCATAAGACCAATAAAAAAAACATTTTGAATGAATTGTTGGCCTTCTGGAAAGTATGTTCATTTACTGTATATGTACTCAATACTTGGTAGGGGCTCCTTTTGCTTTAATTACTGCCTCAATTCGGCGTGGCATGGAGGTGATCAGTTTGTGGCACTGCTGAGGTGGTATGGAAGCCCAGGTTT